AGCTGCTCCCGCTGTGCATTAAAACCTTCTCACCCTCTGCAGCTTGTATCTTGCAGGCACTCCCTTCACTCTGGCCTTTTCAAAGCTTTGACTGCTTATAAAAATGTGCACAAGGCAAAAGGCAATTCCAAGGGCAAGGTGCATCTGCTCTGCCTCTGACAGTTGCACTTCTCCTGTGGATTTGCAGTATTAATCAGACTTTTCCTTGTTTTATTCTCAAGATTGAATGGTTTTACACAATCAAAAAGTGCCAAAGTCTTAACAGAAAGCAAAGCTTTCACTAATGACTGTTTTAATGGCAACTTCAGCTTATAGCCTGGCTGCATGTCAACATGCTTTATGAAAATGCCCTCCATTTTAAAATAAAGATATCAGGTATGACCATGTAACTCTCAAGTGCTTGATGGGCCTCATACAGCTCTCTGCCTTCCATTCAAACCCACTCACACTCTTATACGCAGTTTTTAAGACCCAGACAAGGATGCCTATTTTTCCATTAGCGAGCTATTAGTTCATAGCAGCAGTCTGAACAAAGGGAACAAACTATTTCAGTAAACAACACATTCAAATCAAGGAGCCTGCAAATTTCCAACTTATGGGTCACAGGCCAGCAGAGCTGCAAAGGGGAGTCAAGGCCAAGGATCTTGGTCATGAAGAACTTGGGCACAAACTATGCAATTACAGAAGCAAGAAACTGAACCTCCTGCCCCAGCAATACTGCTAACCGCCTTAGTCATGGCAAGCTTTCTCCACTCCCTTGATCCACACTTCCCTGTATGAGGCAGTGGGCCCCCTGGTTGCCTTGGGGGGAGGGAAATGGTGGCCAGCTAAGTGTAGGGCCAGGAATATAAACACCCCTTCTGTGTTGTGCCCTCTGCCTGCACCGTACCTGTCTCAACAGGGCTCTAGGAACAGGGCAGAACAGCCCCAGCACCACTCCTTGGGCTACACCACCTTCTTGACAAGTTTGAATAGCAACTCACTGCAGTCCACAAGAGTGGATGATACCTGGAGTTAAAAACCGCAGTGCTGCCAGCTTCCACAAGAGAAAGGAATGCTACACACAGCCTAAGAGGGTGTCTTTCCAACATACAACATTCTTATCATTGCTGAGCACGTTGTAGGCAACACCAGCTTAGACAAACATAGTAGTGTGCACCACCATTTTAAATATTTTGAAGGTGATGTAGGAATTTCCTACTCATTGGAAATAGTGCCATTAAAACCACCTTCAATAACTCTATTGTCTCTGTGGGTCTGGTAACTCTCTTCCACCTGTCCTGTTTGCTGAATGAATAGGCATTTAGATTCCACAGGGTGGAATGAAAATGGTGACATTGACTCTCTAAAGACAAAATAAGAAGAAGGGACAGAGGTTAGCCCAAGGCATTTACTAAAAATCAGTCATACACACTTTGAGAGTTCTTCATACCCAGTTTCAAATAAATCTGAAAAAGTTCACTTTGGAACTTTCTGCTTGAAAGAAACCCTCTTCATGGCTAACACAGCCTGGGCCAGCTCCTGGCCAAACACCCCATGCAGCCCTCCCATGTGCACAGCAGGTATGAAGCTGCCTGATGTTCAGTCCTCGCGTCAGAGTGGGACCTCAGTAGGAGCACCGTGCCCCAGGAAATGCACAGGATTTGTCACAGAGCCCGAATTGCTTTGTTTTCATGTGTGCAGACAACATCACCACAGGTATAAGCAAATACTGTTGTCTTAAGCTATGTATTTCCAACTTTAAGAGGAAGATTTGGATGTTTCACAAACCACAGAATTGCACCTCTCCTTCTTCTGACCCTCCTCGCGCCCCCCTTCCCACACACACGCATACATACATGTGTCAGCCATTTGTTCCGATGGATTTAGCCTAGTTTGGATCAAAGCCTCCTCTACTTCGTTTAACAGATTTGCTCAGACGGAAGGTCTCAGGGGAGAAATAATGTTAGTAAGAGGGGGGTTTTCAGCATTGAGTATGTAGGTCATTGGACTTTAAAATAAATTAGAGAATAGTTTATCTATTAAACAAGCCTCACAGTACATATTTCATGAAGCTATACTTAATTATAGGCTAATGTGCACCACAGAGCTACCACGAAGAAAGATTAAGCAATGGCCCATAATGCAGTGATTAATACAATTATTAGCTGGCTGGCACACAGCATCTATTATTTGGTACCATCATGAGAAACAACAGACCTCCAGTTTCTAAGGCTGGCACTTCCTGTGAAATGCAACAAACCCAAACATTTCTGGAGAGAAACGCACACCTCTCTGCACCTCCCGAGGAGAGGATCCTCAGGGGCAGCAGGGGGAACACAAGGACGCGAGAGTAGTCTTGAACTTCCACTTCAAGTGCCTTTTACAGTTTGCTTCTCCACCACAGGTGTGTGGAAACATCCCACATCTTTTACTGTGCAGCGCAAAGCTGACTGTCTGAGCACCTCTTCTTAATAACAGTCTCTGATGCGAGGGGAGCTTGATTTGAGTTGGAATTAAAAGCTGAAGACAGGGAAGCATAAATATGTACCTACATTCTTTTGCTACAGTGATGGCTCCTAGGGACATGATGCACTATATGTAAGATGCATTGGTATTCTATATCAAGGCCCTGTAGACTAATGAAACAGAGCTGTGAGATGAGCAAATCTTTATGGACATTTAAGACTTGCCTGTTCTGGAATCAGTGTCATGGACTGTACAGTATATCATATTACTTATGATGGAGAGCTAAGAAGTAGGTAATGTCTTTCCTTTTATATACATCTTTTTGTGTGGTATCTTGTGATGAAGCAACTAAAATCAGGGAAGTTTTGTTTGTTTGTTTGTTTTTTAAAGAAAAGCTAGAGAAGTTAGTGTACCCTAAGATAAATGTCAGGAGGAGGACAGGAGGACTGACAAAGCCAGTGATACTGGCACCCTGAATTACAGACACTGTTTTATATACTGAACTCAAATTTAAACTGGTCGGAGGACAGAGTCTCACATCCCACTTCCAGGTGCAGCCCTGCCCAGGAAAGGTGCTTGGCACCTTCTCAAATAACATTACCTCGGCAGGTCCACTGAGTGCCGCTCAGGTCTGTGCTCCCGATGAGTGGGCCCAGTCTGAATGGTTACACACCTGGTGTCCTAAGTCATACAGGGCATTTGAAAATGCTGTCAGGTGTGACTGGCCCACAGTCACACTGCCAGGAGCCACTGAAGTTGGGAAGAAACCATATTTCACCCAAAGACCTGCTTAGTGTCCTAAACCCACTAGATCTACACCAGAACACTGCAGGAGGTGTAAAAAGACCAAAAAAACCCCACCCCTCAAAACCCCAAACCATACTGCAGCTGATTTAGTCCACATTTCAGGTGATCTATCGACAGCGTGGCGCTATCTCTACCATAGCGGCTATTAAACGCTATAGGCAGATGCAATGCTGTGCCACTGCTAGGCAGAAGCCAGAGTGGTCTCTCTCACATGCTTGTCTTTTACCTGCTGTCCTGGAAAGCCAATATACAGTGTTTGGTCAGTAATATGCAAGGCTTGGGGGTTCCTAGACACAGAATCAAAACCTTGCCTCCTTTTAAATACAATAGCAGAACTGTCGATTTAACACACAAGTTGTATGACAGCTTTCTCATTGGGGAACGAGCTTTTGGTTTAAAGGCAGACTTGGGCATTACCAACCCAGCTCTCCCAAATCTGGCTAAAGCAGGGCTCTATGTTCAGTGACAGTGGCAAAACCCTCACCGGCAACGTTACTGCTGACCTCTCGCTCAAGTTCAGAATATGTCATTCTGTCAATACCATCTACCTTGATTATACCAGGCTTTATATACAACGAGTTATGATCCCAGAGGGATGAAAAGCTTTTCCAAATTAAAAGCAGCATTTTAAAGAGGAAATACTCATACATTCCTATGTAGTTTTCATTTGATATCCTCAAGGCTAACCCCAGAACTCAAAGTCACGTTGATTGGAAGTGAATGTTTTTTCTGAGTGCAGCCATCTTATGAATTTAGTGGAAGAAGGGAAGTAATAAAAATGTGCTCCATACTTTAATTAGTTCCCTCATAACATGGCATTTCCAAAATGGCAGTGCCAAAGAAAATCATTAATGCAGGAGAACAGACAAAGGCACTGTACGGGGCAAGGGACAGACCTCCAGGAGACACACACCCCCACCCCCCACCCCGTTTTTCTCTTGCCGGTAAAGCTTACCTCAAAGACCAACTCCAATTGCACAAAAGAAATTTGTACCAATATTAAATACTAAGCCACGTTCCATTTCTTTAGCCCTGCTGCAGAGTACCACAATTGAGAGACGATACTTTGCTGTGAATGGCAGCAGGATAAATGTAAATGGCCTGTCTTTCTGAACACACATTCACCCAGGGTACTCCAGGTGCTAGGCTTAAGCTGACTCTATCACGCGATCATTTCAACATCTGCATTCTACTAGGCAAGTGAGAAATCCTGTGTCAGATGTAGGAAAGCAAACACAATCTGCTGCAAATGGCAGACATCTTTCCCAGCAGTCAGTCTTTAGGCCTATGCACACTTGTCTTACACATTTCTTGTGGCAGTAGCCTCTGGCACTAGTTGTGGCATCACTGTACCACAGGAAGGAACTGAGGAAGTGACAGAAGCCCAAAGACACCTCTGACTCTCACAGTCTCTGTCACCCCTTCCTGGCCATCAGGCAGGGGCAGATGTGGAAGGTTATAACCACAGGGAGGAACTCGGGGAAGAACTCACACGAGCAGAATTACTGCTAGAGAACAAAGCTCCGGTAACAGTACGGAGGTGACCAAATGCAAACGAACAGCTGTTCCAGGAAGAAACAGCCTTGCTCAATCCCGACAAAGAGACTGGGGGAAAAAACAGAGGGTGGTTTGACTTGTTTCTACAGCACACCTCCTGCCTTGATCTGCAGCAAAACCATACAGCCCCACAAGAGCCACAACCTTGACCTCTCAGCACTTCTTGGTTATAGAATAGAAATTGATACCTGCGTGCGGTTGAATGCTACTCTTGCAAAGACAGCTTGAGACACACTGGCTCTCTTCAGCTCATCTCTGACTTGCTGGTAAATATCTGGAGAGACTTCCACCGATGAATTTGATGGCTCTGGTTTGACAGCTCTAGGGATGGGTGGATGATTCAAGAACTGCTGGTTGATAGCTTGTGGGTGCTGATGAGCCAATAGCCGGCTGACAGCAATCTGTTGGTTTATCAGATGGGCCATTGCTATCTGCTGCCTCACCAGTTGTGGACTGAGCTGAGGAGACAGGAGCCCAGGGTTTATCATTGTCTGCATCGTTGGCACTTGGTTTCGGATTGGAGTACTGTGGTGAATTTGGCCATGAGGAGACTGTTCGTTAGTTTTTCCCAAGGTTGCCAGCTGGTTGATATTTGGTAAGTGCATGGGACGTTGACCAAGAACACAATAGTCTGAAAGGTTTTCTCTTTCCACTCTTTCCACTGTTAAAAAAAAAAAATTAGTTTGCTGTCATTTCAGTTTGCACTTACAAGAGGACTGTTAGGGTAAGGGTTACTGCAGGTCACTGTACACAACAGCACCTGCTTTAGTTTGCAAATCTACACTTGCATAAAAGTTTCACAGAAACATAAGCAAAAGCAGCACAAAGTAAAAGCAGCACAATAATTAACATTCTTTTGGACTTCCCAGGCATCACCTGCTGCTCAGGAAGCCTCCTTATCAAACTGGTAGCAGGTATCATCTCCAGCCTCATTTCCTAAAGAAATGAGCTCGGACATTGCCACTTACACTGTCACTAACTTTTGAATCTGTCACAGCAAATTGAGTAACTTTTAAAAGCGGTCAATGTTTCAGAATCACTGGCATCTAGGTGAGGAAAGAAACCCAAATTAGTATTCACTTACACAAACCCAATGGAAACTAGATCATTCCCTGTGCAGCTCATGGAACAGCTTCTCATTACAAACTCAGCAACTATTATCTTTTCCAACATAAACTCTACCTTGCATTGTGTGTGGGTAAAGTTATCTGGTAACGTCAATTCACCTAGGTGCACTACAGGAGAATCACATCGCTTGTCTGAAAGCACGCTACAAAACCATGCAATTCACACAGGAGAAAATTTTAAAGCAATGGTTCCTATATTGAAAGCCTCATCACTATGAGTCTGTCCAGGAAGCTTAAAGCATCTCTGCATGAATATCCACGTTAAAGAAAGTGGCCTCACCCTCTTCAAAACAACTTTGTTTAGAACAACAAAGACTGCGATCCCTAAGTGACACCATGCTACAAAAAATGAAACACCACCCACAAAATGCATATACTGTAATTTTACATACTGATATTGTCCCTTTTAAATACTTTATGTCAGCAATATTGCAATATCTTTTCATGTAACTGCAAAACTAAATGCACATACTACAAAACTAAATTTCCTCTAAAAGTAGTATTGGAAATAGGAAATTAAGTTTAAAAAGTACATAGATATAACTATTACTTAGATAATTTTAAATAATCAGAAGTCATTTTACAGTCCATTGCAGATTCTATGAGCATCACTACATGCAATTGGATAGGCATTTATATATTGATCTGATATAAAAGTGTTCAGGGATGCATATCCTACAACTAGAAAACTACTACCTCATGCCTGTATTGCTCTCAGCATATAACAAGATAGGATTTATTTCATAAATGCCATAATACTATTATAACTTGTGTAATGATTAACAACTGTACAAAGCTTTGAACTGTTTTTTAAAACTTAATCTATATAAAGCTTTGAAGCATTACACAGTTAATACTCGGGATGACAGTTTACTGATGACTCTCTCTGTTTCCTTCTAAATAGAAAGACAGCTCTTTTCACCTTCCAGAGTTAAGCTCAGACAGAGAAGGCTGAATTCTCACTGAGGAGGGAGTCATGCCCTGAACACACACGAACACACACAAACACACACAGTTACTATCTTTAGAGCTACCATTCTGGAACATCACAAGTTCTGAATTTTACAACTAGGTGAATCAGTACCCAGGATTTTCTTGTAAGAAATTTTAACTCACTCTTCCCATTCTTTTAAAGGAAAAACCCACAACATCTTTAGCCTTCTATAAAATAATTGCTTTAAAAAACATTTTAAAATAAAAATTAAGCATTTCTAAGAAAACTATTAATTCAATTTTTCCACAAAAGCCAATGTTCCAACCCAACTGATTTTCTAACTAAGTGCTTATTTGTGCAATATATTTCAGCTATGAAATGCAATGCAATACGTGCAATACACAAACACTATTGTCAGCAAATGACCATTTTGCTACCTTACTCACAGGCTGCCAGAGACACAATGCAGTATTTCAGTTTGCTGAAAATATTAAAAATCCCTATTCAAATGCTGCTCCTCATGATGTCAGGCCTCCCTGAAAATCAGGTACAGAAAGCTCCATACTGCTAGTGTCTGGCTGTAGGAGCTGTCCTGGTTTTGTCTGGGAGAGACTGCAGTATGAAAACCGAGTAGTGTTAATACCAGGGACAGACCCGGCATCAATATAGAGATGTCACGTGTGGGCAGTGGAGTGGAGAAGAGGGGCTGCTTTGTCACGGCCCCAGACCAGGTTCTACAACACGGACACTTCAAAGCCCACGTGGCCGTACTAACTATTGCCTCCTCAGCCTCTCCACAGTAAGCCTGCACCTGAGTAATGCCATTAAATACACACAGTTGCCAGCAAAACCAAATGTTAATTATTCCAAAGGTGCAGTAGCTACTTGGCAATCAGGAATTAATCTGATGTAAATAGAATAAAGATGTTGCTCAGTGTACATGAAATACTTGGAGCATCCTGCTACAAGAAAATACAGTAAGAGCTACTTCCAGTCTTCATTTACCCCCCTAGAAATCTAGAGTCCTTCCACTAGGAGTTTCAGAAGAGCTGAAATAAAATCTGAACTATTTTGTAGTTTAAGAAACACACAGAGAATAAGCCACTGAAACCAACAAATCACTACTTGTTAGAACACAAAAACAGTAACCAAGTGTTTTTGAAAACTTGGTGAGAAATAAATATAAATAACATTCACTTTCTGGGCTGAACCACATTTGCCAAGTTTCCACCCACTCCTGACTTTAGTGCCAAGTTATAAACCCCTATAAAAATAAAGTTTAAGATGAAAAGGCTGCCAGGCTGTTAATCTCTGCAGAGCTACTTGGAATTACAATTATACAGAGCCATCACCTGACTTGCTTCCATAGGTGTATTTTTCCCTTATTATCAGTTTCCTTTTTCGATCACATTAGACTATACAGCCATGCATACACTCCCAATAAACAAACCAGATTCTAGTCACTTCAACCACTTCAATAATAAAAGGTTACCATTAACAGTTACGCTGGATGGAAAAAATGTGCATTACTCAACTCCTCAAGACTCTTTCCTTCTCTAACACATTGCCCATATCAGATTCCCTGTTGTTCTTTGGTAACTATGGATTGGTAGGGCTCTGCGGGGCTGGACAGGAGCAAGCTTGAGACAACCCCAAGATAGAGACTGGCACTGCCCTGGGAGACAGGCCAGCTTGCAGGCAATGCTCTGAGAAAAAAGGGATACAGGAGTCACAAAGCTGCTGTGACATCAATCTTCTGCCTCAGATCTTCCTGAGACAGGGTTTTTCCATTTGCATCCTCCATTTTCCATGTTCCTACCCCATTACAGTCTTTCCCTTATCCTTCCCTTGTTTGCTATTGCTCCACTCGAACTGTGGATACGTTTACAGCTCTTGTAGTCCTTCACGAACTGGCTGGTACTTGAATAATTGGAATACAAAGCAGTGCAGACAGAGCAGCCGGACCTTAAACTGGGAAGGCAGCAGCTCCATGGACATGTGCTGTCTCTGTTCAAGTACCGCTGATAAACTTCCTCTGTTAGCAATGCCTGTGCTAGTTAAACAAAAGCTGGTCCAGGAGGCTGTTACCCACCTCCATCTGTGGTGTGACCACAGCAAAAGACATGGCAGTGTTTCCCTTTTCTCCCTGCATCGCACTGCCTCGTATATGATTCTGCAGCTCTTTGCTCGCAGAGCTCTTCTAAACCAAGTACAATGATACTGTCATATTTCAGAGCCACCCACCCTTCTGAAGCCATACACTAGGTAGGCAGATACAAGGTGTCTGGACAACAGGTACTGTGCTAAGCTCAGCAAGCAGCTCTCAGAGCACTCCAGGATAGCATCTGCCCTTTATTTTCCTATACCCCACTACAGCATGTCACTACCTCTACAAGACAGTCAGAAACCAACATAATCCCCAGAATGGGAGCAGCACATTGTCATATTTCAATGTTCCTTTCTCTTGTAATGATTACCACGTGTGTCAATGTATTTCAACTCCATACTGAGTTAGAAACTTCCTGGATACAGCACAAAAGGAATCCAGTGCACCCTTCCCCTGTGTGATGCTCTTAACCTCTACCCGAATCTTCCTTGCGCAGTCATACAGCTGACAGTCCACAGCACAATAGCTTGGGGTGGTCTGCATGCAACTTTCCATCTGAAATAAAACTAGCTCAAAAGATTTAAAATCAGATTTATTTCTCCACCTTCCCTTCCCCTCACCCTTTATTTTCACTGAGTTGTTAATAGGAACATTCTGACAAACAGCCTGTGGGGCATTTAGGGCTTATGAGCAGCACTGAATTGACTGACAGCACTGGAAACCAAATTCCTAGGCACAATAATGGATGCAGCAGGGAGAGCAAGAGTGTAACACGTCTCCCAGCACTACACTGCAGTGGTGACACAGAGGACCCACCAGCACCCATGACCCAGTGAGTCCTGAACTTTTTAGTCCCACAGGCATACGAGCACTTTGTCCCAGAGTAGGAAGAGGCTGGTAAAGAAATGTTCTGTAATAAGTTACTAGCCCGCAGAATTGCCATGCTTCAATTGTGACAGGATGTCACCACCCAGGGCTGTTCTCCAGTGCTTCAGAGTTTGCTTCTTTGTCTTATTTATTATTTAAAACCTGGTGATCATAAAAGCCATTACCAGCAGTGGTCATGGCCAAGCAAGGAAAGCTCTGTGAACTCTGGTATGCCCTGCACTAAGCTTGAGATAGAATGGTTCCCACAATTTCTCTTGGCTTAGCACCACCCTACTCACTGGAGCAAGACCTGAACTTTGGAGCCCTGCTTGGGGGACAAAGCGCTCTCCGCACAATATCACCCTCCGCCTTGGAGAGACAGAGCTGCTGCACTACACTGAGAGGGTGCCCTCTTGCTTATGCTACATAATTATGAACTACCACTTTGTAAATAACGGAACCACTCCAGAGCACAGGAGGTGCTTTTAAAGTGGTAATTCTGTATCTTTTCATGTATAATTAGGATAATTACTTATTTCTTTTAATCACAGCCCACTTAACCACTTCAGTGCGAAGGGCTGGTCTGAGGAGTCTCATTTTCATTCAACATCTAATCTTCGTATTTA